CTGCACCATCCAGTGACTATGTCACCCAAGACCATGAGAAGAGGGACACTGTATTGCAGGAGGAACGAATGGCTGACCTTTTGTAGCAGGTGTTTGACCCAAACCTGGTTCCAAGAGAGTAAACACAAGACAAAGGTACCAGCACAACCTTTTACTGTTTCACTTACGAATCCTGTTTCTTCACAGATAAAAGGCTGCTTCCAATTAATTAGCTGGGCATGGCTAGACTAGTGAAGAGAAGGACCGGAGGAGACATGATAGCATCTTCCAATATTTGAGGAGCTGCCAAAGAGAGAAAGGGGTCAAGCTATTTTCTAAAGCACCCGAAGGCCAGACAAGGAATAATGGATGAAAACTGAACAAGGAGAGATTCAACCTGGAAATAAGGAGAAACTTTCTGACAGTGAGAACAATCAACCCATGGAACAGAAGTTGCCCTCGGAAGTTGTGGGAGCGCCATCACCTGAGACTTTCAAGAAGAGATTGGACTGCCATTTGTCAGAAATGGTGTAGGGTCTCCCGCTTGGGCGGGGGGTTGCACTAGATGACCTACAAGGTCCCTTCCAACTCTGATTATCTGTTATCTGTAGTGGAATTTCATTTAATGCAAACACAAGCAATAGAACTGGCCTTAAGAGCTGACTGGGATCCAGGAGAGAGAAAAACAAAGCAAATTAAGTAAGATACCCGAGAAGTAAAATTGGAAAATTTAAATGTACATGCATAATCTCCCCCCACCCCACCCCGACCTTGTCCCTTTGTGGGGGAGCTTCCTCCCACTGAGCTGGAGAGAGTTTGGTTGGGCTTGGTCTTTTCCACGGAAGGACCAGAGTCTCGGAAGCCTCACCTGGACTCCCCCTGGTGTGGGGGGGGGGGCTTTAGAGAGTTTAAAAGGGCATCTAGTCAACTCCTCCAGGCACTCAGAGAAAGGCAGGGTGAGAATCGGCTGAAAACTGGGAAGAGAGCAAAGGCAGGAAGGGTCTTCGCTGGGAATGGGAAGGGACCCCCCCCCCCCGACTGCAACGATTCCACCTGCCTCTGCATTGCTCATATCTATCCGGTGAAGTCACAAAGGACTCTGCCCGGAGACTGATGATGCTGCGGAAGGGAGAATTCCCATTGGTCCCTACTGCATTACTCCAAGCGCTGGAGTAATGATGCCCCAATTTCCCTTCTGGGACTGTGCGCCCTTCGGTGTGCGACAGTTGCGGTGCCTGGGCTGTGTGTGGTTTCTTGGATGCCGAGTGGGGGGTGTTGATGGTTGCTTTAAACACATTGCTTTGTCGTTTTAAAAAAAAAAATCCATTTTTTTTCCTATTGTACTTTACTAATTTATTTGATTCTTTTTGTTTAGGTTTTTTTTTAAGTATGGTTGTGCATATTTTAAATATTGAGTCTGTCATCTGCACCTCTACAACTGCCTGATTTTGCTCTGCAACCCAACAGGACAGGCACAGGCTTCAGAGGATAATTAGGACTGCAGAAAAAACAATTGCTACCAACCTGCCTTCCATCGAGGACCTGTATCCTGCACGAGTCAAAAAGAGGGCTGTGAAAATATTTACA